ATTTGCCCGTGGTACACAAAGTTTACAATGACTGTAACTAAGAAGAGCCGCATTAAAAAGAAAACGCAACTCAAGTTTTACATTTGCGTTACGGTATACCCATATTGCCCATTACGGCTGGTTAAAACAAAAAAAAGAAGTATAAATGAAGTCATTAGTCTATCGCAAACCTAATCGTGGAGAATACATATTGAATCGAAGATGGGCTTATCACTCATGAATAATGACACTGGGCTGCATACTTGAGTCAAATTTGATAAGTAAGGGCAAAACGAAGCACATTTCTTGGTAATAAAACTTTTTGTTGGGATAGTTGGTACATGCTTACTGAAATACAAAATTAAAGGGCGTGCACCATCTACGAACTTCTGTTCGGTCCTTAATTTTTCTTCCTCGATGGTACGCATCTTCTTTGTATTTCAATATACGTCGTTTGGTGTTTGGCTTCTCTGTTCCAACGCAGGTCATTTTCGACGTCAGCTTAAAGAAAAAAAATCACTGCTCCCTCCGAGAGGAGATATTGATAAGAGTGGGAACTAGCCTTACCACGCCTTCATCTGTGCATCATGGCCTGCAAAGCAGGCCATCTACGAGCTGAGAGTTTCTACGGGCGAACGAAAATGGGCTGTAGAAACAATATTCTGAAGCGCTATTATAATTACCGCATTCAAAACATCCCCCCCCCCGTTACACCACTGGCCGCCATGTTTTGTGTAATGTCCTAATCGATAACATCCCTGGTGCACGGTGTTTTACACGTAGGCAAAAGAGCGCGAGCGGGGGCGACAAATGGGGCCAAAGCAGAGATAGAAGAGCCCACCTATCTCCTTTGCACTGAGGAAAGCACTGGCTCGTAAGGCAGATACACTCAAATGTTTACGATAATTGCGTACCTGATCACATTAGCATCGACAAGGTGTGATTCTCTTGAGTACTAACGTCACGTGGGTGTTGTGTTTCGATTTCGGACCGCGTTTCTTTCCGTAAGTACTTACAGTATACAAACATGGCACGGATTGAAGTGGCGTAATACACTGCCAAGAGGAATGTCAAATATTTTTTTGGTCAGATGTATTCGCGAAGCCACTAAAGTTTGACATTACCTAAAGTGTAATGCAGCACGGCTTATATGATATACTGAAGGTTACAGAGCATAAGAGGTGTGCGCTCTGGCTTTTCTTCACCCCAAGGTGCCAGGAACACAGCCTTCGATACACCTATCGCGTAGCTCTATCCACGCTTGTGCTATTGTGTTATTGCAGAATAACTAAACGATATTGACAATCCTGAAACCCATATGTTTGGCACAGCCCACTGAGCCATTGTCACGCGCTAAGCGGCCAGATGGCTCAGAAGAAAAAAAATCTTGCATACCAGCGACACAATAATACCAGTAAAGACTTGACAATTTCTGATTCTGCAGCGAAGGCTAACGATGTTTTATTGACAAACTACGAAGAAACAGAAGCGAGGACTTGCCGTTCTTCCTGGCGTACAACGACGGCAGACGTGCTTGCACACTCGTCACTGTAGCAGCTCCTCTTGGCTCCGAACTCGATCGCTATGTATAACGAAGTTCAGTTGCTTTCCGCGAGGTGTCGTTCCTAGCCGACCCCGGAAGTAGGTGGTGTCGGTGCCGCTTTCAAGCGGACGAGGAGGCGCCGCCAGCGCCGTCCAGCGGCGAGAACCGCTCGCCGTCGCGACCGCGCTACCTCCCGGGGCTGCTGCACCGTGGTGGTTCCGGAGCGTAGACAGACATGGCGCAATCTGAAATTGGGCGAGACACACACGGTTGTATGGAATACAGATACGAATGGTTGATTGCTGATGATGATGATAGTAGATTTTAGTGGCGCAAGGGCAACTCAGGTCAAAGAGCGCCAAACAAACGGTTTTTGGTCGATTTGATTATAAAATGTCTACTCAGGGTGGCAAGAATAAAAGAGTAGTGTATAGAACTTAAACTTAGGTGTAGTGACTATGTGTGATGGGATTAAAACGGGCTATGCTTATGGGTTTTACAAAGTCATGCCGTGTCGTCAACAGTCCTTGTCAAGACAAGGAGTGCGTGCTGCATGACATTTGATAAAAAAAGTCTCAGCGGTTCCCTCAGGATTGAGAGGAGGCTGAGACTAGTGAGAATATGTTATGGAATGTAGGAAGCCTACACTAGCTAAAAACTTTAACACTACTTTTTGGGGAAACGAGAGATCGTCTCCAAGAAAAAATTGTGGATGAGGCGGAATGTGACATTTGTACAGCTTTGGAAAGTGACACAGTCTTTCTGGTTCGAGGTGCGGACAGGTAATTAGAACGTGAACAACAGACAGCTCATCACCACATTTTGCACAATGTGGTGCTGGAGAGTTGTGGATGTAGTACCGATTGTATTTCACAAATACAAAAAAAAAATAGCCGTGGATCGGCGTTCTTCGCTTTTGCAGCGAAGAACGCCGATCCACGGCCATTTTTTTGTATTTGCGAAATACAATCGGTACTACATCCATAGTCACTTGCTATGCAATCAATCATAAATGGTTGATTGCATAGCAAGTGACTATGGATGTAGTACCGATTGTATTTCGCGAATGCGAAAAAAAATGGCCCTGGATCTGCGTTCTTCGCTGCAAATGCCGTCGAAAGACGATAGTTTTCTGCCGGCCGTACTACACGAGTTCTGGTCTGGTCTACGTGAGATATATATGGATATGCGTGAAATATGGACGCCATCTAGCAGTGGCATCGGGGAAATGTGAGCTTGTGCAGAACCCAGAACCACTACCAAGTGGCTGTACCATATCGTCGGCAGGAGGCTTTTTCGTGCAATGTCGCATTTTTATCGTCGCATTTTCGACGCTGCCTAAGAAACAATGGGGTCCATATATAATTACGTGTCTGCGTGTTTTATAGTAAAAGAAGACAACACCAAATACGTATGTATTGATGATGCACCTCAGATATGCGTAAAATTAATTTTTTTTTAATTGACTATGATCACAAATATGAACGCAGCCACCAGTTCAATATAGCTGGGCGTTGAGAAAATGCTTGAACTTTGGCCGGGTGGCTGAAGTGTGCGGACAGGCAGACAGATCTACAGACAGACCAAATGTCTGTGTTCAACTATCCCAAGACAGACTACCGCTTTCAAAAGCAGACAGAGAGATAAGGAAGTCGAGTAGATGATGCGAGAAAGAAATGAGAACGAAGAAAATTAAGAATGGTGGGAAGGAGTTTATAGCGAGGAAAAAAAAAGAAATCATTCCGAAGAAAACTTAAATAGAGGTGGATCAAGATAATTAGGAAGAGGAGAAGGAGGCGTACACGACGGATAGCATGCAAAAAAAAACAACAGGAAAATGGTTATGAGAAAGACGTGAAAGATGCGAGGAAAATGTGAATCCGTTATAAATATATTCACGAAGGTAAGACTTCATACAAGCACTCGAGGCGGTGTCCTACCCATTCAAGACCGAACAAGCGTACACCCAACAGCAAAATATTATGGAATGTTGGTCCTACAACAAATGTTAATTTCCTCTTTATTAGCCTGCAACGTTTCTAACCTCGATGGTGACTGTACAAGTTCATGCACCAACTGCAGGCTCAAACTGTCACTTGTATACGTTACGTTCTCCCACAAATCTAGATAATAGACAATTTCCCAAACAAAGGAACGCAAACAACTGTTGGGTGTACTTTGGCTAAATGGAGCGTGTGAAGCCTCGTTGCATCCTTATTTGTCTTTCTCATCTTTCGGTGATGTCTATGCATGACACTGTGTGGATGCCTGCTCTTCTGGCCTTGTCGTAAGCGCTTTTATTTACCCGTCACACATATCAACGTTGATGAACGCAGCAGCGTATAAAACGTATGCCGACGGTGCACCTCTGAATAGGAGAGAAAACGTTTTGCGCGGGTGTTCAGAGACGCGTCGTTCCGCACAGGACCGCCTTAACGATTGCCGAGCTGGTGCTGAATTCGAGCACTGTATGATTGCCCTCTAATTCTATAATATGTTTTCCAGGCAACATGCGGTATAAAGTTTGGTTACTGCATTTGGAAAAGGTTGGTGAATTATTGCAGCTTATATGGGCACCCTTTACGTATTCGAATATTGCGTTTGTTGTACAAGCGTCGACAAAGAGGAGGCTCTGGAGACATTTGCTTACCATGCATCTTTTGTTCGGCGTCTAGTCGGAATTCCGGGTCTGAACCGTCCTTTGATTCCATTGACTCTGTGCGAATATTGTAAAAAATGAGAAAGCACTTCAATGTATTTGTCTAATAACAACAGAGCGAGGAGCAATGCATGACGCTTCTCTGCATTATGTTAATTAACATTGTATTAAGCTACTGGAATAGTAACTCCTGCATTTCAGCAGGGAACGTCTGGGCAAACTCTCATAAAAATTTATAACGGTCTCGTAAAATGCTCTATCTTTTGTGGCGTTAGAAGAACGATAAATGGCATAAATTTGACAAAATCTGATTCTGATGTCAATTAAGATGGTATTATAAATATATATATACATGAATCAAACACGAAAAAAAGAGCGTTAAGCGAATAAAATGAAGTACATTTTGATTTTATTAAACATTGAACAACACTTTATTCAACAGATATGAAACGACGTTTACACGCTAGTATTGATAGTCGTAGCATGAAAACCGCAACTGTGACATCAGCAACAAATCAGAGAATTTCTTTCTGAGCAATAAAGCGATATACCGCAGACAGGACACTACAACATTTTTTTTTGACAGGTAGACCTTACATCTATCTCGACCTATTATTTTCATTTTATATCCATTTAATGTGCACGCTAGCACGACGTACTTGAAGGAGATTATTAATAAAGATAAAGCTAGCAAATGCGACGGAGGCAGTTTGCATCGGCAACAATAACTTGTGTACAACAAAATCAATAACGATGTGGTTGCATTAGATGGTGATTTCGAAGCGCTCGAGTCTAAAGCGCCGCAAGGACAAAATGTACCTACTGACCGGCCACAAAGCGCACGTTGTCGGTCGAGGAGTCGCGCAGGCTTTCCTCGGCCTTGAGCCTGCGCTTTATCTCGTTTTGGAGCTGCTCCTGAACCTTGCGTCGTGACCGCCGCTCCCTCCGCAGGCGCCGCTGGTACAGCACTATGACGGAAAGGTCGGCAATGTGCACGGGTTGTGTTAGTAGGATCTTACGCAAGCTTTGTCACATGTTTCATAGGGTTTTCAAGTGGTAGCGGTGAATGGTCTAGCATATTAAGTCTCACTCTACAAGCATTTTAATAGCGCTAGTTTACGCTGGCTAGTAATCAGTAATGTAGGAGTTAGGATTAAATTATCAATATTTTTGTCTTGCTATAGAAAAGTGTTGGGCAATGTTGCCATGCATTAGCTGAATTATAATAAATCGTGTATATTCCGCATGGTGCTGGCTAATACAGGTTATATTTTCTTACGAGATTAACACTGTCTTTATCTGACCTAAATGTAATTATGATTTCGCGTATTCTAGCGAATAGTATGGCAATCAACCTGAGTTAATTGTGGCCAAATTAAAAAAAAAAGAAAGGAGAGGAAACTGATGACTGACTAGCGTTCACGAGCACACATGTGTAAATAATCCCAAACACAGATACACACCTGCTTGCTCGTTCATACTCAATATTGAGAACAGTTTTTTTTTTATTTGATAACGTAACGTTAAAATGTGAAATCGCCCAGCTCACCTCGAAACTTCTGTTCCTCAGCGAGCTGCTTCTCCACCTTTTCTCGCAACTCACGTTCACGTAGAATTTCCATCCCAAGCTCGGCTGTATATACAATTCAGAAAAAAAATAACTTGATTTTGGACCGCATTATTTGTCACTATATTTGTTGTGCATGTAAACACTCTAACATTGCCCTTAATTGTTCCTATTGGCGCCTGTAAAGGTGGCTTTGTTGTTGTCAATATACTACTGCGGTGATGCACGCTTTACAAGCAAGATGTTGGGAGTGAGTGAGTGAAGTTTATTTTGGTCCAAAAGTGACGAAGAGTGGACAGGACCAGAGACCTCGCTAGCCCAGCCAGGTGGCTCCACTCAGGGTGGTGCCTGGAGGTGAAGCCTCTAGGCGATGTCCCGGGCCCTGTGGACGGTCAGCAGTTGGGTGTTCAGTTCCGCACTGCGCGTGGCAGTCTCCCAGGAGGTCTTGTCTGGCAGCTCTGGCCCCGAGTTAAAGTGGCAGAACGAGAGGATACGTTCAAAATTATAGTCCTTAAGGTCACAGTGCAAAAAGTGGGGGGAGAAATCCAGGTCGAGTCTGTGGAGTATTGTTGGTGTGACGTACGTTTTGATTTGCAGATGCCGAAATGTAACTGCTTCTCCTTTATTCATATTCCTGTAGTGATTTATTGAAAATAAACCAATAGATCCTTGAAGTCTATCCATCCCCTTTCACTCCCTCTATGAGAGGGCCGCTCATCGCCGCGGGTGCGTTAGCGGGTTGTTAAGTAGCATTCTCAGAGCACTGCAAGACAGGTCAAAAGAAAGAAAAACTAATTGGTTGCTTGACTGAGTGGAAAGCATGAAGTGACGCTAAAAGTAATGTATGTACTATTATAATAATGAAGTAACTCTATAAGATTGCACCAAGTTGTGCCTATTAGCGCCTGTAAAGATGGCTTTGTTGTCAAAAGCATAATGTTGCAACAGTGCACGCTTTAGAGGAAAGGTGTTGTAATTGTGGAGCATTGATCTCAGGGGTGTTGCAAGGTGGGTGAAGCGATAGCAGAATGAATCGATTCATTGACAGAAGTGTGAAGCACCAAGTGACCCTCGTAGTCTTCCGTGTACTGTTGTATTAGTGAAATAAACTATATAAAGAGAACGTATGGAAATATAAGATTTGTACTTCGCACAACATTCACAACTACACCGAGAGAGGTCCTGATTGAACTATCTATCGGATTTCATTTTATCTCTTCAAAATGGTGGTGGAGGGGAATATGTTAGGCTACTACTTTCCGCCTCTCCACCCCTCCTGCGCTGGCTCCACCTTGTGGAAGAGAGGGTGCACAGAACTTTCTCGCAGTTGTTGGTTCGTACTCGAACTTTAGACGTGGTGCGCCAGCAGAAACAGAGGGCAGGAATCCAGAGAGGAGCGCACCTTTTTCTAGGGACACCTGTCTCTCGTGGTGCCTGGCGCCGTCGGCGGCCACGCGCAGCAGCGCCTGGATGTTCCTCAGCAGGGCCTCCATGGAGTACACGTCGTACGCACGCAACAGAGCGGCCTCCTGCAGCGACTCCGGGAAGCCCGTGATTGGCGGAGTAGCGGCCGCCTCGCCGGGGCCAATCAGCTCATCGCGGCAGTAGCTGCCCTTGCTTGATTCACCTGTCACGTGGTGCATGAATGTCGAGAGTCGGTATCAGATTGACTTTGCTTGCACGGAAAGTTTGGGTGATGAAGGCCGGCAGCGCAAAATTTATCAAATCATAACAGAAAGGAATGAATGAATGAATGAACGTAACTCTAACATCAACGTTTTTAAAGAACTAGCACATCACATGAGACATATTAAAAAGAAAGCTTGGCATTTGGCACTACTCCTTATCCTCAGGACGCAGCTACACTAAGCAGGTGCAAGTTAAACGCAAAGGTTCCACAAAACTGCAAACGAGAATGGGAAGCGAATGCCAGCGTAGTTCTTTATGTTGCCCTGCGGCCGTTTGTTACATGTACCTCACTGAAGGATACGGCTGATTGAGATCACTATAAATGAGATATAACTGCCCGTAGCAAGCGACTGCAAAAACAGAAAGCGGGAGCTTCCGCTATTCTTGTAAACCATCTGTACAGAATGTCTGAGTGGTCACTGAGCGTGCGACGGTTCACAATGACGATAATTTTTTATCTATGGCATACGGCAAACCTAGACCATGGCAGTTCTGCTGTCGAAATTGCTATAGAAGTTTGCGAATGTACCTTCATCCGGACTGTCGTCCCCTTGCGGCCCAGTTCTTCCGGATCCATCGCTCGTGGTCACCGCGGTCTTGCGGCGGCAAGTTTGCGTGTTGGGCAGCCGCCTCGTATGCGTAGTCTGCTGAGACACGGGACAAGTTATTTCACCTCAGCGTGCGAGTAAAGATCGCAAACGGGATTCACCTCACCACTGCATGCCAAACTTAGATGACGTAGTAAGCTTTGAGAGCTTCGATCACATTGTATATCAGCCTGTATTGAGCAATTGCCTCCACCTGCTTGATGCAAGATTAGTTTTTCGCGTGTTTTAACTCGTCTTTCCTGGATCGCTTATGCAATGTCACTGCCGATGCGCAACTTTAGTTCAGTGGCACCCAACTAAGTGTTTGTGGATACATCCTGCCTTTTGGTGGATTATTAATGGAGGAGGGTACCAAAATGGGCTGGTTGGTTAGAGGATGTTGGAACAAACAGCGCTAGACATACGTAGTTATGACTTATTTGCTGTCTATGCGCAGATGCTGTGTTTATGTTGGTATTGCGCGAAACTTCTGTATATTTCCCAGCAGACTATCTTTCTATCACCGTCATGTGTCTATAGCGCTGTTTGTTCCCGTCTTATCAGTGGGGAATAACGTTTTATAGAGCAGATATTAGGCTCCCGTTCCTGCGTTGAGCAGCAGAGTAAACGAGGACGAAAGAAAGCGAATGCAATGCGCAGTGGAGAGTGAAATGTGGCGATAGTGAGGAAAGTGCAAGGACATGTTTGAAGAAATCACAACAAAGTGCAGCCATATTGGAAATCCTCTTTGCTGCAGAAAAAGTACAACTCGTCCTACTGTTCCTGCTAGAGCGCGAGGAAGGAACCTCAGTGGCGAGATGACAGGTTGCGTGGCGGTGCCACCCGTGGCGCCACAGTAGGGTGCCCCATCGTGTGGTTGCCGATGACGTCATCATTGAGACGTGCGGTGAGGGCGTCCACCGATACGGCATATATAAATAAAGCGCACCACGCCTGTCCGCGGAGGCTGTAGTGGAACGCACCCACACCCTGCCTTCCGTGGCATCCCTGCTAGCAAGAGCGGCGTGCCATGCTTCATCTCCGGTGGCTGATGCTCAATAGGCTGCACGATAATTATACATGTGAGTCACGCTGCTGGTGATGTTCTCTTTCTAATGTAAACCACAAAATAATTTCAGCCAGTTATTTCTTAACAATAAGTGACACTCAAACAAATCCACTCAGAATTTGGATTAGGCAGTATCGCGATCCTCGGCGACATTTTTTTTTTCAGCTGAGAGCGATCGTACAACTAGCTGACCTCATGAACCCAACTTCCTGGAGACACCGTAAAGCTCACTCACTTCGAGCATCTCCGCCGGGAGTCTTAGCCTCGGCGCGTCCTTGATCCACGGCCATGTAGCAGCTGTCGTCCATGACAAGCTCAGGTGGTCCCGCAGCACTGTCCAAACACAGATGTGAAAGGGAAAAAAAACGACGTGGATGAATACGCCTAACTTCACGTCACCTTAACGTGACGCCACGCACGTCACGTCAAGGATGACGCGCGTGACGTTGGTGGTCTCGAAGTTGTGGTGCTCAAGTCCTCATATGAAGGTCAAGGGATCAAGTCCCGACGGCGGTGGCCACATTTCAAAGGATGAAAAATGCTTATTTTACATTTCAATGGATGCAAAATTTTCTATGTGCATTCTTCAATTGAATAATTCCGAGTAATAAACACGCACTACTAGTAATTTATTCGAGTAATCATGCCCACTATATGTTCTTTGTTATTGAGAGATATTATAAAACCAGCACTACAAGTTGACGCTAAAGCCATGCGAGGTTGTTGGGAACGATTATCTTGAAGTTTACCAGTCAGCCACCGAATGAGTCGCCTTGAGGAGAGAGATTATTTCCTTTCTATTGGGATGGCATATAAAGGCTTGCAGAACGACGTTTTCAAACCGCTGTAATTATAGTTTCACTTTTTCAACGCCAGAAAACTTTTCTTCGCCGACGAGGGCGTATCGAAAAGCCTACCGAAGCGTACAACACTGCGAATTTCGCTATGTGACACAATAACTAAAGAATATCGACCGATTCTTACCCGCTGACTCGCAAATATAACTCGGTCTGGACAAGAGTATTTATAGTTTTTCATGCGAAAATTTTGTCGTGTTCAGAAATGCTTGCTTTTGTCTATCCCGCCTACAATAGAGTTATTTTCATGCGCAAATAGCCCTACTTCGACGAACGACGCCTGGTATGGACATCTCGTTCCTCGGTTGCTCTCACATTTTTCGTGTGAAGCCAAGAGTGAACAATGCATCGAATGCAACCGAAGTTGCATCGATTTCTTGGTTGGGTAAAACATTTTTTTTTTTTGCTCACAGGTGAAATAGCCGGAAAGTATTTTGTACGTATACAAATTACATAATTAGAATCGGTCGTGTTTGTTTGTTTTTCCGCCAGGTAACTCGAGCAGTGTCCTCATTCAGTATAGCGTTCGCACAAAATGATATGCTTGTTTCGGATATTATAAAATGTGGAACAATAGGAACTAGCCCTGCTTTCTTTCTTCTTCGTCTCGTATCGGGAATAATTATTAAGCATGTGTATATCTATAAGTACAACAGGCATTTACAATGCACTTCTATAGCAAACCTTGAACAGCTTTACTCGTAAATTCGGTTTTCACAAGGTTCCGTGCACGTACTGCGAAACACACGCGCTGTGTCAGATCAACAGGCTTAGAAAATGTGTGCGGAGCGCCATTACAAATGTGGTGCTTGAGGAAAGGCGAGTGCTCTTCCTTCAGGTTGTGCCAGCGGTCATAGCAAAATAGCATAGGCATGCGCATGGAGGGGGGGGGGGTCACCTTCCCCCTAGTCTCCGAAGAGGATAAAGCAGTCAGCCCCACACATTGACATAATAGAAAGGGGGCGCTGCGACTCTGAGGGGGGGGGGGGGGCGTAAAGTCAGACCTTTACATGGACATAATAGGGAGTCATGTTCCGTGCAGGAAATTTTCCCCTTTTCAGACAATTTTCACCTGTAATTTTGAGCCAAAGGGAAAAGGAAATCTTTGTGATATTTCAGGGAATTCCAGGAATGGCTCAATTCTCCAATTACGACCGATAATTAGCAGTCACAGTGGGCCTTCATCTGCTCTAATTGGTTCTAGCGCATGCACCATGCAAGGATAGCCTTTGAGATGTGTTTCTGATATTTACGTGGAGTGATTTCTCGTTCTCAATTAGTGTTAAACTTGGAGCCAACGATTCGCAGTGTGCTAACAGTGTTTGAATTAATAAAGTCATGCTGCTTTTGTTGTGCGACAGTGGAGGGGCAAGTCATGATTTCAAAAGCCGCCAGTACGTGAGACGCGTGTAATTATAATACGTGTGTGCGTGGATGGGATCAGAAATCAGTACTGTTGTGCGCGGAAATATGCTGGGGATTTCGTCAACGTTTGCAGGGGAAAATCCCCGAAATAAGGAGTTTTCATGTCTTTGAATGGGAATTCCTCGGCGTAGTACGAAACATCACTGTAGGGAGAGAAGGGGGAGGGGGGGAGGCGCTGCTACGAACCTTTTCATCTCGTAACAGGGGTTATGTTCATCTGCATAAAAACTGAAATCATTTATCAAATAAAGAGCATGGATTTTCAGCTCACGTAAGTGAATTCGTTATATTGAGTATTCGCTAAAACCAGTGAAGCGGCAGAGGCGATTTCAATAGTCACACATAGCTGAGAAGTAGTGAATGCAGAGGCACACTACAAAATAACGAGGCGTCAAATTAAGTTGAATGCACTATACTTAACAATCGAGCAATTCGATTGTATGATGTTTGAAAGATGAGTCTCCAGGAGGCACACTAGCAAGGGCTGCCTCCCCTCCTCCCCCTACACCCAGCCACAATCCCACCTCTTTTTTTTTCACAGGGGTTTATTTACTTCCCTTACTCACCGTAAATAGAGCTCGTATAAGATCTTTATCCCAAAAAGTTTAAAGAAGTTGCGCGTGTCATGCGTGTAACCAGCGACTTCAGATGCCAAAGTCTGCAATAAAAAAGTGGCATGGCTCTGTGGTAGAACACTTGCTGGCCAAGCAGAAAGCCCCGGCTGAAACCCATCTCAAATCCTACTTTATTTCTCTCAATGTGTGTGGTAGCTGTGACAGACACCCTACATCAGCGGGGCCAGACACCACCAAAGAATGTGTTGCGCGAAGTAAACACAAACAAGGAAGTGAACGAGTTTGTTCGTATTACTTTTGAGCAGGATCTTGTTTAGTTACGTCACTGATGTATGACCAACTTGCCCAGGAACATGCATTATTGAAGGGCGGACAACTGCGCCACCAGATTGGCTGTTGTTTCGGGCCAATAACTTACGCCACAAAAGAAACCGTGACTACTACCAAAGTATCTTTATCAACGGGAAGTTTGTGAGGACATTCACGCACGTGCATTCACTCAGTGACAAGGGTCCCGTGAATGCACTCACGTTTTGTGCGACAACGGTACGGTCCGCTGGTGCTCGAGCGATGGCGTCGACGAGGCATCGTTGCGGCTTCCCACGCTCTCTGGTCTCCCATTGGCCATCAGCGACTGTACACCAGGCTGGACCTGGCCGCGTCCCAATGGGTCGGCCATCTGCTGCCGCAGGCAGTTCAGCAGCAGCGTGGTCTTGTCTACTGAGTCGTCTAGAACCACATTTGAAATATAAAGCGTTTATCAGCGTCGTAAAAAAATGCACAGACAAAAATAAATCAAGGGACATGAATGCGTGTCTACGTAGCGCTCGGTATAAGCAACTTCTTCTGTGTTAGATGTTAGACTGCAAATAAGAAAGGACTTGTCTTCACAGTGGAATATGCTCAACATCCCAAGTAACGCCAGATCTCACGACAGAACTTGGAACTATGCCTATACTCCTCCGCAGCCAAATTGAAACTTTTGAAATTTTCGTCCATGTTCTTCGAGGACTTTAGCTTAATTTATAAACCCTGAAGTGGATCCCATGAAAGCCATTACGGTTTGACATGCATACATACCACCATCTCAGTATTTCTCTCTCTCTTGCTGCCATCCGGCTTCTACCGCCTTTATGCCTTCAATTCCCTTCCCTTGTGCAGAGAAGCGTGTAATGCCTCGGTCACGTCTGTGTAAAGTACGTGAGCAGCCGGTTCTTGCTCTGCGGCGTGACACATTGAGGCAGTTTCGGGCTCTGAAGTAGCGTGTCCAGAGCATGCGTGCTCCTGACAAACTACGTCAGAAGTACCACATCAGCCCGCCTAGTAGTCAGGCTGGCCGTGTCAGAATCCGAAATTGCCTCAAGGTGTCACCCCGCGGGGCAAAATCCAGCTTCTCACACGCTCTGCGCAGACGTGGCCGAGGCTGTACATGACAGGCGTCTGTTGGCATGATGCCTATTGACATTCAAAGTGCTACAAGGTGATGTAATTAACTTTAATTCAATGTACTGCAGTATGACTACAGTCTTCGACAAGCTCACTCAGATGATATGTAACTTTAGGTCAATCATCTTATCTATCATCTCTCATCTTATCATCTTATCAATCATCTAGCTTATCTTCGCTCCCCTACACGTGGCCTGTCTACTTTATCATCACCAAAGCAAACATCATTATTTGCGTGAAGGTAATGATTCATCACAGTCCTTCTGGAGCGTGATGTCGAATTTCAACTCGCTCGAATCTTTGTTCATGATTTTTCTTGATTTTTCTTAGTTTTTTTTATAAAGTTCGTCTCTCATAATCATTTGGTGGTTTGGGGACGTTAAACCACTCATGTCAGTTTTTCATAAAGTTGTCCTATTAACAAAATATGATTGCGCCAAAGCTACGAACCAGCTCAAAACGCAGTTAAACTGTATTTCTACAGGTCTAACTATTACGTGAAGGAAAGGAAGTAGTGGAAATACAAAATACCAACAAAAACGTCTAGTACAAAAGAAATATAATGGTTGGTTGTATCCGAGTAAGACAGCGACAGCTTGTGACTCGCATTTCAACAGAGTGTATATTGCGTGGCTGGCGGCAACAGACTAACGAGGGACGAATAGAGTAGCGCAAAGGGATACAGAATAGCAGGGTGAATACGGTCAGGTAATACAAGTGACGTAAGTTTAACTCTAAACAGTCGGGTTTTCACCTACGTCCACTTAAGCCTGTTTTTTATCATTGATAGTTAATCACATAAGTTAAACAGAACAGTTAATTTGTGGTAGAAAATTCCGGTTTCGCGGTCTGTCTGCTTTGCGTGGTTTTTATTGTCATCGTGAACAACATGAATAAGTTAACTACTCTAAAGATTATAAAATAAGGAGCGAAAGCGATTACGTCTACAGTTTTTTTTTGTTGTTTATTTTTTATAGCACAGCAATGACTTGAACTGATCGGCAGTAATTTGTGACCGGAAGCATAAGTAATTTGCTAAAAAATAACGTAGAACAAAGCAAATGAAACAGACAGGATACGGCGCTTAACGATTTGCTTGCGGAAAAACATACAAGTCAAGTGATCCACAGAAACCAGCGCAACAGAGCAAATATTCACCATCACACCACCTCCTCTATTCACCACAACATCTTTCTGTCAAAATATACGTTTCTTTATTTAACTAATCAACCAATACTTGCCTCATCTAATTAAATTGTTCAATGTTTAGAGTTATATCAAGATATACGAATTCTTTGTTGGTGAGAGCTGGCAACGGAGTAGTTACAAAGCTATCACCCGTCTTTCCTTACGCGGTAAGGTTCAAACATTTTATTATCTCTGCCTCACGTCTGTTTCCTTCACCCCTTTTTTTTAATTAAGCAATAATTGTTCGGGTTTAGCAACCTCAAAAACCCTGCATAATCTTATTATGAGGAACACCGTAATATATGGCTCTGGAAATTTCGACCACCTGCGGTTTTTTCAACGCGCACCTAAATCTAAGTACACGCGGGCCTCACGAATTTCGCCGTCATCAAAAAGGCGGCCGCCGTGGCTCGGACTCGATCCCGTGACTGTCGTGTCAGCAATAAACGAGCACCTTAACCACAGTACTAACACAGCACATGCAGAATAAAATGTGTCTCAAGTCAATGATTTGCTTGGCACTTGATTGGTAGATGTGATCGGTAACCCCGTAATTTGCCAAAACCAACGCATTTAAGTTTTTATTTTTTCCGCGTACTGTGTCAGAGTGGAACTGGCTGACTGATCCCAGCCAACTTTCGGCTGTTTAGATCTAAAATAGGCACTGTTAATTTGTGCTCTGTTGCTATTTCATGTAATATTTTGACTTGTAAACTTTTATGCATTCTGTTAGTGCGAGTTTTCATTCCATCTCTCGTGATACATTCTTACGTTATCAAATGTGTTTTTCTATTTATATCTTGCTTCTTTTACCTGTCCTCCTTGGACCAGTTCTTGGTCTGCAGTATTCAATAAATAAATAAATTGTCTGAAAGCCCCGGTCCCATGCCTTGCTTCTTGAAAAACAGGATGTAGATTCACCCATCGGCAGAAAATTGAGCGAAGAACAAGTGTGACGCTAGTCACGCAATCTTTTTTTTCTCTCTTACCGTAGGTGCCCTCTCCGTTGGCGTAGGTGGACGCAAAGTCACCGTCCGGCCGCAACTTCTTGATGGCCTGTAAGACGGGCATCGCTGATGCCACCTGGTGGTGCTGCGCGGCACTCGCCAGGCCCAGCAGGATGCCCGAACGCTTGGGCGGTCGACCCGGTCGCGAACTGCAATATACGGTATAGTTGAGTGTTCATAGTCGCCTGTGTCCGCTTACTCTCGTCGCTACTTTACAAACTAACAGTGTGGGAAGGGCAATATCCTTTTTTCAAACATTACGTAAGGCCACATGCTTCTTCAAACATTTCCCGGTTTCCGCCCAGGGCCACCCACATCTTACAGTGGTTGGATGCAGCTTATAACAGGGCACACTAAGACTACGTCAACCACGTTTGATCGTGTGTCAAGCAGTAACATCCTTAACGCACCAATGCAGCTAAAGTTGTCTAAAAAATTACACTATCTTCCTTAAAGAACCACGTGTAGATGCGAAGCAGCTGACGCTAACGCTTACACTGGCGGCGGCGTTGACGATGGCACTCATCGCGGTGTTGCGCTGGAGAGAAGCCTGGGGAGGCGCTAAGCACGCAGTGATGAAGCGGTGTTTACTGCGGGAGCATGCCAATCACTGCTAATGGGGAATGAGAGACAGACGACTCTGTTCAGTGCGGCTTACAGCGCGAAACACCCGGACGTAGACTTGAAGAGGACACGGTACAGCGCTGACTTTAAGCTTAAATTTTCACTGAAAAACATGAACATATATAACTTATGAGCAGAACACTACGTGACTGTGCCAGCCCTTTCATTCGATCAAAATTATACACAGCGCATCAAAGCTTTGTCACGTGGACGCAATCCTGCCAAGAATCATGCAATCCTGCCAAGAATGTCCAAGTGTTTCGCGCTGTAAGCCATATTGAATCTTCACCAACTAGCGCAGTTTTCTATCTTGCAGAAGACTCTGGTTGGACACAGATACCCACCAGTGCGCTTTTAGATAACGCGCACGCTGCGTGTTATCTAATTGTTCAACAACGCACAGCAGAAATCTCCCACCGGTACTATACCTTGGAGGTCAAAATTCAGTGCCTGAATATACAAAGTGGCCAGTGAACGGCTGTTGTGCAGCGCTATAAGCCGGGGCTTTTTTTTTTTTTAATCAAGGAACTCTTTAACAGACGCTGCCAATATATACACAAAGAATATTTCCACCAGGTAAGGCAAAATGTTACTCGTATGTCTCCTGACGAGGCCTTTACCCTGGACTTACATGTCGGACAGCAGGAACAAACAAAAGCAGGGAAAACATGTCAAATTATAGAAGTAATTAACTCCTCATTAAGCCATACGCAAATAAGAATGAAATAAAAGAAACCCTTTGACATGAACATAAGTAAATAGTTTGTACAAACTATTACATTTACTGGAAATAGTTTTTACGAACTATTAGCCAGTAACTGAAGTAGCAGCGTTTGCTCATGAGAATTTTTGTTTCAAGGTAAAGGGTTGAATGTTAAGTGATCTGGTAATAGAGAAAGTAAAAGTACGTACAATACAAAGCAAAAGGTAAACATATGCATTTTATCTTAAATCATTGAATGCTTATGCATTTGTAGAAGACGTTAAAAGTAGTTTAACTTGTTTTTTAACAATAAATACATGTGGTTACATTATCCAGTTTAATTAGGGATGGGTGTGTATTACACAAAGAAATTACTTGATCATCAGAAGTTTTAGCGTCATAGTTAGTTCACTGAAATTTGTTAAAGATGCGTGCCTGCCTTCAGGATTGGCTGATTGTTCTTATTTCTTGCGACGAGTTCCAGCGCAAGAGCCATTTTTTTCGAACACGTATTCATTTTCACAAAAAAGAGGCAAAAAAGCACTCACACGACCAAATTCCAGCTACATTCAGTGCTGGTCATATCATTATGTAATGCGACCAGCTAATCGAGCCAATGAAAAAAAAGCACTTACGAAAGAAAGTCTGGATACGACGAGGTAGTGTGAAGAGGGTAAGAGGGAGGTAGAATAGTGAAATGCTGTGAATCGAACGGGTTGCGTATTGCGCAAGCACGGAAGAAGGAGCCAGAAAACGACAGGAAAGAGCGCAGCATTGAAACATAAAAAGGCATGACAAAGCGCAGTCAGAACTCTTTCCCGTCTTCTTCTGCTTCCTTCCTTCGTGCTTGCGCAGTACGATACCCGTTCATTGATATGAACCAACTAGCCTGCCAAAAAAAAAAAAAGAGTCTTACTGTTGTGAATATCGCGCTGCCGCCATGGTTTCATTGTCGCACAACTTGAAGTGGTCTGGTTAGAACTCGCAATCTAGTGCAAGATTTCTCCTCAGCCTTCGCCACTCATTGCGCACGTTCATCAGCGTCGCAATACTTCCCCCTTTGCCCGGCTCTTCTTTGGCTGTTTCTTGTTTGAATCCTTCCGAAGGGTATGTGCGACGGCTGTTTGATCTGGCCTACTCGGAGGAGCCGTCTCATTAGGGCGCCCTCCTCTCTAATGATCGGATCGTTTTATTCGGTGCAAGCAAGCACCGAGAAGCCACGTGTCGCGCTACCACGGCCGGCACTGGCACATAGGGCCTCCCGTGCATCGCCTTTGTCGCGCTCTTTATGAGGGCCCACACACCGAACTCCAGTTTCCTTCAGTCGTCGAGTTTAAAAAAAAAGCGGGAGCGGCGAAGGCATTTATAAGGGGAAATGTGCGGAATAGGGCGTGGGGAATTCATCCTCTCCGTAGCAAAAGCGCTTAAAAGAGAGAGAGAGAGATAAAAGGAAAAAAAAAGAATTGTCACTCTTCCTTCTCATAATTGTCCTCCTACCGAGTTGTAGAGCCTTTCTCCGACTTTTTCTTTCATTTAAAACTTTTATTTACTTCGTTGCTTTCTCGAGCCTAATTTTTACCCTTGGGTGCCGAGCTGCCGGTATATTTTCCCTTCCGCCCACTCTGGTTCGCCATCCGATTAAAATGAGAATTGCTCGTCGTCTTCGTGCACTCTCTGCTAGGAGCGTATAGGTGAAAGCTCTCAGGCAGCCGCCACGCTTTTCGGTGTCGTCCGGCTCTGACTTGAGCAAAAGCCGACTTGAAAAGACAGCCGGCGACGAAGGATGATGGGGGACAGATAGGAATAAGGATAAGAAAGAAATACATTAATAAGGAATAAAGGATGGTAGCGGCACGCACTTCTCTGGAGAGGATACGGAGAGTGGCGAGTTATAAATTGTCCGCGGCTAAATTGCGCCTGTCTCCGTTCTCATTAGTCAATCTCTAAAGAGCTTCGGTGATGTGAGGTAGCATCTTTCATTGCCTTGCGGGGAGGATGTTTTGGCTTGTTCGGCGTGCTCAGATCTGCCACCGTGGGTCTTTTTAAACTTTGACTGATCATTTGAAGACCGTGGTCAACGATGACATAACGTGACATAGAAATAAATATATATAAACTTTTGACTGCGGGAAATACTTATGTTCAAAAGTCCCGATGATGTCAGCTAACTTCAGAAGTTGACGTCTCGAAACAGTGATTGATACTTCGTCGTCAATAATATTGGTATTACTAGATAATAAACTTGTCACTACCTCATTGTAGCTCATTTGTCTGTACATTAAAACATATTTAAATAATTGAAAGTGAATTGGGAGATATAAGGGATGTCGTTGGGATGTACTGCGAATAATTTTCGCATTCCATATAAATCTAAGCGCACTTATTAATCTAAATTTATGCACCTGTCGCGAATGAAACCTCAAATCTCGTTAAAATTCTTCAGACCGACCGGCATGTTCTAGTGATTATGGCGCTCCATTGCTGACCCGAGGGTCGCAGGGATCAAATCCAGGCCGCATATTCGATGGAGGCAAAATTGCTTGAAGCCTGTTTACTTGAATTTGGATGCACGTTATAAAACCCAAGTGGTCGAAATTTCCGGAGCCCTCCGCTACGGCATCCGTCAGAATCACATCGTTGTTTTGCAACGTTAAACCCCAGCAATTACATTATTATTATTATTATTATTATTATTATTATTATTATTATTATTATTATTATTATTATTATTATTATTATTATTATTATTATTATTAGATCAAATGTGATAAACAGGAAGGTATTCATGATGACTGTTGTCATCCAGTAACCGAATTAACAGCATTCGCTCATAACAATTTTTGTCTCAATGTAAAGTGTTGAATGTTAAGCAGGTTCAAATTTAATGCTGTTTATTCATTGCTTTGCTCTTCTTGTTCTTTCTGTTTTCGCTGTCTGCGAGATACTGCGTAAAGATAGCTTGTTGAACGAACGTCATCATCGAACATTCAAGAACTAAGTGAGGAAGCCAAGAAGGCAGCATTTCGGGAAACAGGTCCTGTTGACGTTGACAGATGAACTGAAGTGCCGATCACAAACTGATTATTTACAAATCGGCTTTCACATAAAGACTCATTTCGCAAGGCGACGAGGCATAAACGCCTGAAAAGTGAATCGTTGGTTTCAACTCCTCGAGCGGACAGTCTTGTCAAGTTAAATAAATTCAGACAAGTTGGTTTGAAACAGTGACACACAATTAAAGAAAGCTGTGGTTTCGGCTTGGCGAAAACAAAGCAGACCATCGCAAGCAATTTGCGTAGCGCGGGACGTGGAATTTAACCGAACGTGTTTACTAAAGCCCTACAAAAAGGAAATAGACAAATAAAGCACGAAAAGTAGTCATATAGAAGAGCGTGAAGAGTCATATAGAGCGTGATTGCGACCTTGCTTGAAATGGGGGCAAATGGCTGCACTCCACCGTTTTGTAGCTACTTTTTTCTCCAGACAGTGATTTCCAACCTTGACACACGCCACCACTGCACACGATGTCAATACTAACTCCCTTGAAGCTGACACGCGAAAGATGACAAGGCACCTTTGATGAAGATAGGTGCTTCTGCCTAGACGGCAGCCAGCTTGTCTTTGACACATGCCCCTGTTTGTTCAACGTATTCAACTTCACATATTCAACATATTCAACAACATGTTAAACAAATTCCGCTTGGAGTTTTAATAATTACTGCACTGCATCTAAATATAATAAATGATGCCCGCTGTACTTTTATTGCCTTGTCTGTTATTTATATTTAGTTGGGTCTAACACAGAAACAAGTCCCTGTTGTT